AAAAAAAAAAAGAAGAAGAAGAAGAAGAAAATAGCAGGAAGGGAAAAATGAAGCGGGGGAAATCAGAGGGGTAGACGAACCATGAGAGACTATGGACCTTGAGAAATAAACTGAGGGTTCTAGAGGGGAGGGGTTTGGGTGAATGGGTTAGCCCGGTGATGTGTATTAAAGAGGGCATGTACTGAATGGAGCACTGGGTGTTATACGCAAACAATCAATCATGGAACACTACATCAAAAACTAACAATGTAATGTATAGTGACTAAACATACATTATATATAAAAAAAAAAAAAAAGACAACCACCTCTGGGGCCCCTGGGTGGCTCACTCTGTTAAGCATCGGACTCTTAGTTTTGGCTGAGGTTATGATCTCAGGTTCATGTGATCAAGCCCTGAGTCGAGCTCCATGCTCAGCATGGAGTCTGCTTGAGATTCTCTCTCTCCCTCTCTTTCTGCCTCCCCCCACCACCACTCGTGCTCCCTTTCTCTTTCTCTCAAATAAATAAATAAAATGTTAAAAAAAATACAAGTACTTCCAGAAATATAATAAACTTTGATAGTTTATTATTTAGTATGAATAATGTATCTGCTACTTTTCAATGGAACAATGCACTATGAAATGTGTCTTTTGTTGTTGTTTGGTTTGGTTTGGTGGAATAAAAGGAAGCTTGGAATGTGGGAAAGAGATCCACCTCTGCCTGAGGAGAAGAGAGCCATGGTGAAGAGAGATAGGTGCCATGAGGCTCTGGGCTTTGCACTGTTGCTAAGGAAGGGGGTGCTCACTGACAGAGGGATAAAAGGCTACTTATAGCTACCACCACCACCACCAGCAGCAACAACAACAACAAGAAAACACTAAGAGGATGATGAAGTCAGAGTTTCTCTATTTCAGGGCAGGATAGTGGAGAAAGCCCATTGTTCAAAATATCTGAAAACTTTGGTTTTAGTTCCAGCACATGTGCAATCATTTAAATTCTGTCAAAATGGAGTCAGACTAGAATTTCACTCATGTCCCTTCTAGCTCTGATATTCTGAACCTCATCTATAGATAATCTTGCTTGGTTAGAGTTAAAATGGTAATGTTGTTTTCCCTTATTGCCAGATATCAACCAATCTTTTCTAAAATTACACATTTCAAATAAAAGAATGACTCTTGAGGAGAATGATGTTTCAGTAATTTTCTTTTTTATATTTATTACAGAAATCCAAAGACCAGAAGGGTCTGGAACATAAGAAATACATAGAATATTATTTGGTGCTGGATAATGGTGAGGTAATTATAACAGATAAATGTGTCTTTTAAAATCCCCTTCTACATGAATTTATTATGGGAAATATTAAACATATGGATCAGTTTTGAAAAATCATGAATCTGAGCTATTCCTTTTTATGAATTTTTCTGATCCTAGGAAATTTGACATATAATTAGACTGATATGATTTTTCCTTCTCAGGAATGTGCACCTGATATGATATGCATAAAGTGACTTTTTGCATTTTATCCTCTATTATTGTATTCAAACTTAGTTTCCAATTAAATTCCTTTGTCCTTTTTCTTTCATTAAGCAGTTAAATCACTGGTAAGTTAGAATTTATCCTCATCAGAGAGTGGTAAATGTACAAGACTGATGAATGGAATTTTCTGAAAAAGGCATTTTTTGGTAATATTCATTGTTTATATTATTTACAAGAATGCATTTTCAAATATTGGAAAACTAAGGTTCACATGTGTGATCTCAAAAGGGAAAGCTTTGCACTATGATAATATGATAAGTTAATTTGTTCAGGCCCTAAAGCTTGACCTCTCATTATACTACATTCATTTATCATTTATCATTCATATATATGAATAAGCTATTCCTTGCACCAGTTCTGCACAGCTTGTGAAACCATGGCATTTAAATGAGAATATATTTGGAGTAATTCCTTAGAACTTTACACTGAGCTACTACTGTAGGGGTAAAACATCATCTCTACTCCAAAAGTACTTCAATTTAGCTAAAGAAATAAGGGAGCATTTTGCTTCTATCTTTTAACTGTTAACTTTTATAACTGATTATTAATTATAACCACTGATAAGCAAAATAAACCTAAGTTACCTTTTTATTTTTTTTACCTTCCAATTATATTCATTTCTGTCAGTACCCATATTTTGTCATGGTTGGTTTTTGTTTGTGTGTTTTGTTTTGTTTTTTTTTCCAGTTTAAAAAGTACAATCAAGATCCAGAGGAAATAAGAAAGAGGGTGTTTGAAATGGCCAATTATGTCAACATGGTATGGTATACTTCAAGTGCAATTTTAACAATTTGTGAGGCAGTGACATTGGGTGTATCTATGAATGCTCATGAAGCAGGGAAAGAGAGTCAATACTCCTAAGATTAATACTGCTGATTGGTTCTTGAAATTTTGCTACTTAATTGAATATTAATATTACATGATAGAGATGTTTCTTACCTACTTGCCATATAACTCTCAGGCTGATGAAGGTATAAGAAATGGTTTTGTTTGAATTGGTTGTTTTGTTTTGTTTTTCTAAAGCCTGGGGAGACAGCACTGACCAGCAAATCCCAACAGAAAGCCGATCTATGGGAGAACACGGGAAAACAAACAAAATCAGCCAAACTCTGGCACAGTACTATCTTTCAATACATCATTCCATTGAATCTTCAAAACAACTCTGAGATATTCCTAAACCTAATTTATAGCTAAAGAATTAAATTCTGGGAAGCAAAGTAACTTGCCTAAAATCACAAAGTTAGGAAATGGTAGAGATAAGATTTGAACTTGGATTGGTTGGATTTCAAAGTCCATTTCAATTGGAAAGATGTTGATTTCAAAATCCATTTCAATTGGAAAAATTAGATGATTTTGTCATCTAATTAAAATCTTTTAAAAATGATTTCTGTATCCCTTCTATTTAAATCTAATTGTTAGTGTCTTGTTAGTTGAACATACAGTTAGTCTGCCTACTTACATGAGTGAGTCACTTTGTGGTAGTCTGCAAGTTCTCTAAGGGTAGAGAGAAAATGAAGGTGGATTTAATGACCAATATCATCCCTATCTCAGCTTCTCACCACAAAGATCATTCTGACTCCTCTTAAAGAACCCCAAGAACTGGCCATATTTATTGAACATCTTTGTGACAGGAACTTTTCTAGGTGACAGAAATAAAGTGAGGAACAAAACTGACAAATATCCCTTCAAGGAGTTTACATTCTTGTTCAAGATGAACATAAACACACCAAATAAAGAGAATATAGGATGGTGATTATAAGTGGTCTAAAAAAATAAAGCAGCTTAAAAATAAAGAGATAGAGAGGTTCATCTTGGGTGCTATGTTAAATAGGAAAGCTCAAGTCCAAAGTGTCCAAGGTGACATTTGAGTTAGGGAAAGGAAGGGAGATAAGAGTCTGACTCTAGGGGAGGTTGTGCAAGGCAGAGTGAGGTTCTGAGGACAGAACCTAGATTGTCATATTTGAGGAACAGTGGGATGGCCATTGTGGATGGCATGCAGTAAGCCGGGGCAAGGGTGGGAGCCAATGACATCTGACAGGTAGCAGTGGTCGGAACCTGCAGCTCCTGGTAGGCCTGTGTAAGGACTTTGTTATTCTTCACAAGCAAGGAAGACATTGGAGAGCCTGAGCTGAGGTGTAACATGTTCAGATGTGTATTCTTAAAAGGTTATCTTGGCCATTATATTGGAAATAAACTGAAGGAAAGCAATTGGCAGAAGGTAGGGGAATTATTCCCTAACTCAGGGCAAGAGATGATGGTGGCTTGAGAAAAAGCAGTGGTATTGGATCTATTGAGAATAGCTGATCTCTGGATAGAGTACACAGGGTAGATGAGGTAGATGAGAGATAAGTATAAGAGAAGGAAGAGAATCAAGTGACCTCAAGGATTTGAACCTGAGCAACTTTAAGGATGGGTAACATGGTGGGGGATAGTGACTCAGAGGAAAGATGAGGATTTCCATTTGGAACACATTTGCTTTGAGATATCTTTTTGTATAAAGATTTCCAGGTGCACATCATTATGTTGTATACCTAAAACTAATATAATGTTATATGTCAATTATATCTCAACAAAAATATTATTGTTTCTTAGTGGGGGTGGCAGTGGCAGTGGATTGCTAATTTTTATTAAAAGTGTTCTATGACTATAATTTTTTCAAATGTGTACATGTTTCATTTATACATTTATACATTTTTATATTTAAGAAATGAAAAATTAGAGACTTTACATTTCAAAAATCAGAGAAATAATACTAGGAAATTTCCCTGAGATGAGGGGTAGACATGTCCATATTGACAATGCCCTCCACATGTCCAGCACCTAGTAACATGTGTCAGATTATATCATTGTAAACTTTTGGATCATTAAAGATTAAAGAGAAGATTCATGGATGCAAAAAAAAAAAAAAAAAAAAGATTTCCAGGTGAAAATGCTAGATATACAAGATTGCTTGGAGTTCAGGGCTAGGTCTGGGTAGAGATATAAATCCATGTCTTTAACACATACAGATGGCATATGACATGGATCAGCAAACTGTAGCTTGTGGGCCAGATCTGGCCTGCTGCCTTTTTAAAAGTAGTTTTAATGAAACATAGCTACACCCATTTGTTTACACATTGTCTATGGCTGTTTTCCTGTTACAGTGCCAGTGGTGGTGAGTAGTTACCACAGAGACCACGCAGCCTCAAAGTCTGAAGCATTTTCTGTGGACCTTTACAGAATAAGCTTACCAATCCTGGTATAAGAGAACCAAAGGAGTGGGCATAGATAAGTAGAAAAAAGACTGAGAACAGGTCCTTGAAGTTCTTCTTTGAGGAGAAATCAAAGTGCAGGAGAAAATGACAGAGACCAATAAAGAGTAGAAAATGAGCTTTGAGAAAAATCAGGGGATAGTGTTGTTCTGGAAGCTACTTGAAACAAAAATCTATCAAAGGAAGAAATGATCAATGATGTTAGATGTTTCTGAGGACTGAGGATTGGCCATTGGATTTAACAAAGTAGAAGTCCACCTGGATGATGCAAGTTTCTGTAGAGTGTAAGAGTACAAGCATGATTAGAGTGAGTCCAATGAGAATAGGAAGTAGAATTAGAGACAACAGATACAGAAAATTCTCTTCAGAAGTTTTGCTATAAATGGAAGCAGAGAAATGGAAATAAGTGAAAGGGAGAGGGGTCATAAAAATTGTCCCCCAACCATGATGGGTCATCCTTTTTATGCTGATGGGAATGATTCTGTGGAAGGCTAAGCATAGAATTGCAGGGATGATGGAAGAATTGCCGGAATAATCTCCTTGACCTGGGAAGAGGTCGGAGATCTAGTGCATGAGTGGAGAAGTTGGCCTTAGGCATGCAGCATTCATTCATATAGTAAAGAAGGGAAGGTATATGTTGTTTGAAGTAAGCCAGTAGGCAGACAGTGGTGGGAGCTCGTGGATATTCTCTTCTGGTTGCTTCTATACTCTGAGTGAGTTTGGAAGCAGGGGCATCTGCTCACAGTGAGGTTTTAATAGAAAGTGTCACAATTTCTAAAAGAGAAGAGTGAGCATGGAAAAAATGTGCAGAAGCCTCCGGGAGTAAATGGATTTTGGAAATGCAGCAGGTTTGCTGAGACTGGTAAAGACCACTTGAGGTTAGTAGTCATGGCTTCCAAGTGAAACCAGTCAGCATAGTGTGCTCTCTCCTTTGTTCTGGGGCATGGTGCAGGAGAGTCATAGGGAGGAATTGTTTTAACCAGGATTGAAGTTTAGTCAGGTGGGTCAAATAAAGAAAGAACGGAAGAGGGAAGTTGAGGGAATCATCAAGGGGAGGGTTTTAATCTAGTTAGATTCTGACTTCTTTTGATGATAGTTGCATTCCTCAATGCTTTTATTGTTTTCCAAACTACTTAAACAATTCCTTCAGGTTTCTCAGCAAGAAGTTGCCCCATGAGAAAACCTGTCACTGTGCAGGTTTTTTCCCAGCGTTATTGCGATATAATTGGCATATAACATTGTGTGAATTTAAGGGGTCCAGTGTGTTGATTTGATGTACTTACTTGCAAAACGATTTCTGCCATGGGTTAGCTAACACCTCCATTACATCACATAGTTGCTGTTGCTTTTTTGTGGTGAGAACATTTAAAAATTATTCTCACCAATCTTAAAGTAATTAAGACAGTATTATTACTATCACTACCAAGCTGTATATTAGATCGCCAGAACTCATTCATTTAATAACTGGAAATTTATCTGACCAACACTGTGCAGTTTTATGAACTATAGCAGCAATTTAAACTTTTGTTTTTAGAGTAAACATACTGTCTTATAAGATTAATTCATTATTTCTAAAGATTATCCTATGTGCATTATAGATTATTTGGTTCAGTCCAGTTTTAAGCAATAGAGGACCACTTACTTTATTGTGACTCACAGATGCAGGATTTTTTTCATATAGCTTGTTCCTTTCCCAGTGTCCAAACCAGTACTGGATCAACCTTGCTAATTCTGAAATGTTATTACTCTGAGAACATTGCAAAGCATTGAATAAATACACTTAAGTTGAAGTCATAGTAATGAACTACTAACAGAAAATTATAATGTTTCTTGAGGTTGCAAGCAAGAGAAGTTTGTTTCAATAGGAACTTTTCTCCAAAAAAAAAAAAAGGAGTTTTCACAGTGAATTATCTAAGGGTGTCTGCCTTGCCTAAACAGGGATGCTAGCATCTGTGAAAAGAGGTAGTAACTTCCATTTCACAAGTATGTTTGGAAAGTTTTTACAGTGCTGCTATTAATAAATTCAAAAATCTATAGTACATTGAAAATATTGAAAGATCATATCACCATTTTGTAGTTCCTTTGACATGTATTCTCTTTGGACAGCTTTACAAAAAGCTCAATACTCATGTGGCTTTAGTTGGTGTGGAAATCTGGAATGATGAGGATAAAATAAAGATAACCCCAAATGCAAGCTTCACCTTGGAAAATTTTTCTAAATGGAGGGGAAGTGTCCTCTTCCGAAGAAAACATCATGATATCGCTCAGTTAATCACGTATGTATAGATTTTCCCTTTGTATGTTAAATGGTATTTAGCATAGAAACTTTCCAAAGCCTTGGCAAGGCAAGTGGTATCTCAGGGGATAGGGTAAGAGGAAGTGGCTTACTCAATGGGGTTGAAAATTTAAAAAGTACTCATTTGAATATTATGGTGAATATGCTCTTACCTTTGTTACAAGTATTTCTTTTTCTTTCATTTTTAAAGAAAAGCTAACAATTTAACAAAGATTCATCAGAATTTTGTCTGTTTTGATTAGGTATACAGAAAGGAAAGACAGGTTTAGAAAATGGCAAGAGATATTTCAATTCAATGTTTTAAAAGACCTGATTAGCTTTAAGCACTAGTCAGGACAAACTTCTAGGATTGAAAGAAAATTGCATATTATATTCTAATCCCACACCTCTACCATCCTGCTGAAATGACTAATTAAAAAACAAAAAACAGGAAGTAAATCTGGTGACTATAAATTAGATAAGACTGCTGAGCATATGCCTCAAAAGAAATCAAGAAAATTCTGCTGGATCGTTTGCAGCTGGAATCAGATAGAAGGAAGCAGCAAGAAGTGACTTAAAATTATTCAAGTTTTACTTCCTAAGAAAATAGGAGCTATAGGAAATAAGAATTAATTAATATTCTGTGTAGTTATCTACTACACATAACATATCAGCCCACAACTTCCTGACTTAAAATAAATCTTCTTAAGTGTCTGGTTCCTTGCCTGGTGTGGCTGGAGCATGGGCGCTGGGTTGGTCATCTCTGCATAAACAGCTTTCATGTGGCTAACTAGGACTGCCTCCAGCATGGCAGTCTCAGGGTTCTGGAGATCTTGCAAGGTGACTAGTTTTATTCTAAGAGGACCAAAGAAAGCTTCAAGACTTCCATGACTGAAGCTTAGAAATTGCACAGTGTCTACTAGGTATTTATCCAAAGGATACAAAAATAATGATTCAGTGGGGCACCTGCACCCCAGTGTTTATAGCAGCAGTGTCCACAATAGCCAAAATATGGAAAGAGCCCAGATGTCCATTGACAGATGAATGGATAAAGAAGATGTGATATATATATATACACAATGGAATATTACTCAGCCATCGAAAAGAAAGAAATCTCGCCTTTTGCAACTATGTGGATAGAACTAGAGTGTATTATGCTAAGTGAAATAAGTCAGTCAGAGAAAGACAAATACCATATGATTTCACTCATATGTGGAGTTTAAGAAACGAAACAGATGAACATAGGGGAAGGGAAGGAAAAGTAAAATAAGATGAAAACAGAGAGGGAGGCAAACCATAAGAGACTCTTAACTATAGGGAACAAACTTGGGGTTGCTGGAGGGGAGGTGGATGGGGAGATGGGACAATTGGGTGATGGGCATTAAAGAGGGCACAAAACGGCAATCCAATATCAAGAGCAGATTTCCTGACTAGACTAGAATAAACAAGATAAAAGTACTAAAAAGATATGATGGAAGGAAATAACTGTCCTTTCACTTGTAAACTGAAAGTCGTAGCCTTTAATTTACAAATTAACAAAAGGTATATATCTACACCTGGCATAACCAGGTAAGAAACTTGTGGTACAGCTATACCCCACCCACTGAAAACAGGAACCAAAATAGCTAACTCCATAATGGGAGAAGATTTTATTTATTATAAATAAGCTGGTAGTGAGTATTAAACCCACACAAATGCAGACTTAAGTAATTTTATAATATAATTTTTAAAGAGGATATAAATGCCATGAATCTTTAAAATATGTATAATGCAAAATACCATTTCAAAATAACAGATATCTGAAAACTTTCCAAAGGAAATATAAAGTGGGAACAAGTTCTCTAATTTTCCTTATTTTGCATGGCAAGATTAATACTCTTCATTCTTGAGGATGATAACTGGGAAAATATACATTCGACTATTTATGTAAATACATCTACTAAAGGAATTTTTAAAATAATGCATTCTTTGCAAATTACTAAAGACAAACCAGGGCTAGGATCTTGAACAAATAGCAGAATAATAACAAAGGCAGCACATGAAATCCCACTACAAATTGAAAGAAAAACAAAATGAACAAAACTAAAATAAACTTATGAAAGACCAAACCAATTGTCTATGCAAATAAATGCAAGTGGTTCCGATTCCTTTTCAGTAACAAATATTTCAATAGCATAAGTGCTTCAGTAACACAAATATGTTCAGAATGGGCCCAAATTCCAAATCCCACTCTAGCTAAAACAGTGCTAAAAGAGAACAAAAGTAAATGGATATAAAAATATATGAGAGAAAAATATAAATTAAAACAAAGCATATGTGATAATGCTAATATACAAATAAGATATGTATATATACATATAATAAATAAATTAAATAATAAAATATATTTAATATTATATATATATAATATTAAAAAGGTGATTATATCCAGATGCTTATATTTAGGTGATATGACAACCATTGTATATAAAAAAAAAGCCTAATTCAGTTTCAAAAACTGAAGGAAATATTTAAGTTATTCACAATGTGAGTTTCTCTATTAACCGTTTAGAGTTCTGGATTGTCTATAGGACATATAGTTGAGAGTCATAAATTGTTATATCATTTTTTTTTCTTTCTTGCAGAGCAACAAAACTTTCTGGAACAACCGTGGGCCTTGCTTTCATGTCTACAATGTGCTCTCCTTATCATTCTGTTGGCATAGTTCAGGTTTGTTTGAAGATAAATAGTTGGTTCTACAATTCAAATGTGTCAAATGCTCTTTTTTCTGAATCATGTAGTTTTTTGTTGTTGTTGTTGTTGATATGGTAAATAACATGGATTGAATTTCAAATGTTGAAACAGTCTTGCATATCCAGTATAAACCCAGCATGGTCATAATGCATTATCTTTCTTATATTTGCTGGATTCAACAAGCTAACATATCTTGAGGATTTCTATATTCTATATAATCATGAGGGATATTAGTCTGTAGTTGTCTTTTCCTGTTACCTGTTTTTCAAGTTTTGTTATTAGGGTAAATCTGGTCACATAAAATGATATATTCCCAACTCTTCCATTTTCTGGAATGTCTTAGCAGAATTGGCATTACTACTTCCTAAAATATTTGGTACAATTCATCAGTAAAACCATATGGGTCTGGCATTGTCCTTATGGAAAGGTTTTTAACTACAAATACAATTTCTTCCATAGATACAGGACTATTCAGGTTATTTATCTTTTCTTGAATAACCTTGGCCATTTGGATCTTTAAGGAAAGTGTCCATTTCATTTAAGTTGGCATAAATTTGTTGATGATATTCTTATAATATCCTTTTTTATATCTGTAGAATTTTTTATATCTGTAGTGATGTCCTCTCTCATTCATGATATTAGTAATTTATGTCTTTTTCTCATGGTCAGTCTCACTAAGAGTTTATTAATTTTATTCATTTCTAAGAAACTGCTTTTGTTTTATTGATGCTCTGTGGTTTTCCTTCTTTCAGTTTCATTGATTTCTGCTCTTCTCTTGATTATTGAATTTCTTTTGCTTTCTCTGCATTTAATTTGTTCTTTTTTTTTTTTTCCTATTACTTAAGGGAGAATTTTAGATCATTCATTTGAGACTTCTTCTTTTCAAATGTAAACATTTAAAGCATAAATTTCCTGCCATGCACTGCTTTAGCTGAACCCATCATATTTAGATATGTGTGTTTTCATTCAGTTAAAAATATTTTCTAATTTCTTTTTTGATCTCCTTTTTGATTCATGTATTATTTAGAAGTGTACTGTAATAATTTCCATTATGGTTTTTTTTAGTTTCATGTTGTTATGATCTGCGTATTCATTTGCTAGGGCTGCCATAACAAAATACCCCAGAGTGCATGGCTTAAACAACAGAAATGTATTTTCTCAGAGTTTTGGAGGTTAAAAATCCAAGATCCAGATGTTGGTAGGTTTGGTTTCTCCTGAGGTCTCTCCCGTTGGCTTGTAGATGGCCACTTTCTTGCTGTGTCCTCACATGGCTTTTCCTCTGTGCACACATCCCTTCCTCTTTAGTCCTGTTGTATTAGGGCCCCAGGATCATAGTCTCATTTAACTTTAATTATCTCCTCAGAAGCCCTATCCCCAAATACAGTCACATTGGTGGTTAAGGCTTCAACATATGAATTGGAATGTGTGTGTGGGTGGGCACAATTCAGTCCATAATAGTCTAGGAACATACTTCGTAGAATTGCGATATTTTAAAACTTTTTGAGGTTTGTTCTTGATCAGTACTGCATATGCACTTGAAAAAGAATACCTTCTGCTGTTATTGGATGGAGCATTCTGTAATTGTCAATTATGTCAAGTTAACTTATAGTGTTGTTCAGTTCTTTTGAATCATTGATGTAGAGAGAGTAGTTAAGTATCCAAGTATAATTGTAGATTTGTCTGTTCTTTCAAATCTATAAATTTTCACTTCATGCATTTTTAAGCTCTGTTGTTAAGCAAATACACAAATAGAGTTGTCATGTCTTTTTAGAGAATTAATCCATTTATTATTTCATGCTCCTCTTTTTTCCTGAAATATTCCTGTTATGAAGTCTACCTTGTCTGTTATCATTATAGCTACTCTGACATTTTGTGGCTAAAGTTTGCTTGATACAACCTTTTCCTTACTTGTATTTTTAGCATATATTTTTCTCTGCATTTAAAGGTTTCTGGTAGACAGTATGTACTTGGGTTTTACTTTTTATCTAATCTGACAATCTTTGTCTTTTATTTGGTGTATTTAAATCATTTATATGTAATATAATTTTTGATATTGTTTAACTAAAATCTTCCATTTTGCTAGATCTTTGCTATTCCTTCTATTCTATATTTTTCTACCCTCTTTAGGATTGAGGATTTTTGAAAATAATTTCATTTATTTCCATTATTAGCTTTTCATTTTTATCTCTCTTTATTTTTAATGGTTGTCTTTGTTTATTACATACCTCCGCTTGTCTGTTTTTACTTTGAAATACTCTTGTCCTCAGTGTGCCTGGGTGGTGCTGTCAGTTAAGCATCAGACACCTGGTTTCACCTCAGGTCGTGATCTAAGGGTTGTGAGATCGATCCCCACGTTGGGCTCCATGCTCAGCATGGAATCTGCTTAAGACTCTCTCCCTCTGCCCCTCCTCCCTGCACACACTCTCTCTCTAAAAAAATAAATAAAATCTTAAAAAAAAAAAGAAGAAATATTCTTGAGCTGCTTCACATGTAGTATAAGGATATTATAGGAGTATACCTCTAATTACTCCCTTCCATTTTTTTGTGCTATTGTTATCATATGCTTAACTTTACATACATTAAAAATACACAACATATTGTTACTAATTTTTCTTAGTCTTTCTCAGTGCAATTTAAAATAAGAAAAAAATAATATTATGCTTACCTTATCTTTACCTACACTCACCTTTATCACATTCCCAACACTCTCCATTGCTTTTTTTTAAAACTCTCCATTTCTTTTTTTACCTTTTTTATTTTTTTAATTTTATTTTATTATGTTATGTTAATCACCATACATTACATCATTAGTTTTTGATGACTGTTCCATGATTCATTGTTTGCATATAACCCCAGTGCTCCATTCAATACGTGCTCTGTTTAATACCCAACACCAGGCTAACCCATTGCCCCACCTCCCTCCCCTTTAGAATCCTCAGTTTGTTTCTCAGAGTCCATAGTCTCTCATGGTAC